CATTAAGCCATTGTATAGAGGAAATGTACTATACATACAGGGAGTATGATCCAAGCTATCCGGTGAGAGATTACATTTTTAAAATACTTATTATCATAAAAGACACATTCCCGTTCATTCCCCTCAGAATACTCACCTTTGCTTTAGCACACATTATCTCAATATTCTTGCCACTTTCTGAAGTAGTTCTGGAAAAGCGCTTTCATGTCTTGATGAGGTGTGATTAAAACAATACAATGAATGCTGCCCTCGAGCACCATCCAGGAGAAAGGCGCGCTTGTAAGAACATTGTGACGAGTCCTCTTTTCACTTTCAAGGTCTGGAGCTGTGCACCTTAACTTCTTGCTCTTTGCCAAAAATCAAAACGACCATGCAAGGTCTTCTCGTCATGGGACCTGACTCCCATCACTGGAACAAGACATCCAATGCCCGCAACTTAAATGCTTATTCCGGCTGCATTTCAGTGGGTTCAACTCATGGCCAGCTGGGTCCCAGGCAGAGATGGCACAGTGGAAATGCACTAGGGAGGAGGAAAGCTGTTCAACACGGGTGGCCGGGGGCAGGGACCTGAGGGAGCAGGCAGGGACCTGAGGGAGCAGGCAGGGACCTGAGGGAGCAGGCAGGGACCTGAGGGAGCAGGCAGGGACCTGAGGGAGCAGGCAGGGACCTGAGGGAGCAGGCAGGGACCTGAGGGAGCAGGCAGGGACCTGAGGGAGCAGGCAGGGACCTGAGGGAGCAGGCAGGGACCTGAGGGAGCAGGCAGGGACCTGAGGGAGCAGGCAGGGACCTGAGGGAGCAGGCAGGGACCTGAGGGAGCAGGCAGGGACCTGAGGGAGCAGCCAGGGACAAGAATATACCTTTCCAAGTCCCCAGTGACCCACCCTCGCTGACCAGGTGCCATCTCCAAATGGGAAGCTTCTCAGACGTTTTGGCTCTAAACCCTAACATTCCACTCTGCTGGCCTCCTAAAGGCTCATGTCCATCTCATTACTCAAAAAGCATTTAGTGCATCTCTAGTTGTTGTCAAAATCTGAACTGCTACACCACTGGTGAAAAGTCCAAAGCCTGTTCCTCCTCCTCCTCCTCTGAGACATAAGGCAACTTCTTACTTGTGAGCCTTTACGATAATCAAAAAGAAAGTTATGCTCTTCCAATTCACAATGGCACAGAGTTAACATCTCCATTCCAACGGGAAAGATAAGGGGATAGATAGAAGTTAGACCAAAACAAGATGAAAACCCAGTGAGATAAACACTAAATCCAACAGTTACGTGTCCAGCATCCAGGCCAGGTTGTAGTGAAACATGAGCTCCCACAGGCTTGGCAAGTTCACTGCCAGCACGGAGCCTCTCTCTTCTGACTTTGCTCACTGCCTACAGCTTTTCTCAGCAGGCCTTCCATGTTCCTGGAGTCTCCAGATGCTAGAGGTCTCCACCATACCTTGAGTTTCACTCTTACAGCCTCACATATCATCCTGTAAGGGCCACCTGGCAGGAACTGTGACCCTGCCACAATTTTCCTGACATCCCAGGCCTTCTGCTATAATCTGGGTGAGAGCCATCATGATCCCTTACCTCTAGTATTGTGCTTGCCAGAAAACCCAGCACTAAATGGCCTCGAGTTCAGCTGTTGATGGAGTCCTTCTTCCCAACTTACACCTCCTGAGCCTGGCTTTTACATTCTGCATTCCTATCAACAGTTTAGTCTTCTGAGCTCTGTCCAGTATGCACATCAAGCACTCCTCACAACACTCTAGAACTTCTCTAGATGACATCTCCAAATCTTTCCAAACTTCTCACATAAGTTCCAAAGGCTTCTAACCCACATGGTCTGGTACAGTCAGAGCAACAGTCCCACTTCCGGTACCAATTTTATGTATTATTCACTTTGTTCATTGCTGGAACAGAGTACCTGACACCTGCAACTTAAGGAGGTAGAGGTTTATGCTGGCTCATAGTTTCAGTGGGTTCAATCCACGCTGAGCCAAGGCAGAAAGGACCTGGTGTAAGTGTGGAGTGGAGGAAATTTGTTCACCACGTGGCAGCCAGGAAGCAGAGAGGAAAAGGAGAAGCTGGGGATGAGGGTATACTCTTCCAGGTCACACACCCGTGACCTGCCTCTTCCCACCAAGTGCCCCATCAAAGGGGGACATTTTAGATCTAAACCATATCAAATGTAAATGCTTTGAGTCAATTCAGGAATTGAGACAGCTATGACAGAACAACTAAAGACATGAAAAAGGACTTCCAGAAAGTGGCAAAAAAAAAAAAAAAAGATATACATGTTCAAAGTGAGGAGGAATAGTATGAGGTGTACTTATGTAATGTGTCTTTTACTGTAATAAATTTAAACATTTAAAACAATTATTCACCATTTGTTTGATCACACCATTCTATATGTGATACTATTTTTCAAATTTGTAAAGAAGCTTGTGTTTAACTTTTAAAACTCACAAATGTATCTAAAAATCATATTTAAGTCCAAATATCCTTCACCTTACTCATACCATCAGGTAATAAAAACACTTCTACTATGCAAGGTCTGATCCTTTGATCATCCAGAACCACTGGGATATTCCACAGGTGTGGGACAACAGCCCTACCTTGGTGACCCTTTAGGTCTGGGAGGGAACCACACCCAGGGAAGGAGGAGACTCAATTCGCAATGTCCCATGTGTTCTTGTTGTTTATTATCCCTTCATTTACTCTATAAACAGACCTCAGTGGTCGACAGGAGAGCAGGCAAATCACTCAAGACTGACAGGGACTGCCTACCATGAAATGTTCATGGGAGAGATGGAATAAATATGCAATAGGATTTGCCAAGAAAAAAGAAAACCACCTAGGAGTAATATGGGACACCTAAGTTCTACCAGGCACATAATTGGGATCCTAAAAGGAAGGGAAGGAGGAAATAGGCCTCTGAGCCTCTATTCAGGGTACGAGGACAGAGGAACGATTTGATGAGCTGGGTCTCTCAGCTGGGCTGGTAATGGTTGAGCCAGGAACTGGATGAGAAGAAGCCAGCTAGAGAAGGCATGAGCAAAAAGCATTCTAGACAAATGAACCCAAGCATAAAAGGGATGGACATTCCTCAGGAACAGCAAAAAGACGAGAGTGGCTGTACATGATGAGTGAAAGCAGCGTGAGGTGTGGCTGGGCCTCGTGCTCATCATTGGCTGGTAGAGTGGTGCCTTACCTGTGTCCCCACAGCTGTCAGCCTTTAATCAACAGAGCTGGGGTTGATTACATGCACCCCTGTGACTAGTTCTCGTCAATGGTCTGTGGGCAGAAGAGGCTCCGGCCACTTCCAGGCTGAAGAAAAGGACAGCTGGCTCTGGGATGGGGGCTGCTGCTTCTTCCAATGGCAGCGCCTGAGGTTAAGCCTGGCTCAATCACAGAGCGACAACTCGAGGCACAGCTCCTCTTATGAGTCGCACAGACTCTCAGTGGACTTTGGGTCAAACAGACATAAATCTTGGAACTCTTCGGTAAGCCAACCCTGACTAGTATCGCATGGTAAGAAGCCTAGATTTTATTCTAAGTGTAACAGGAAATCACTTGAAATTTTAAACTAGAGAGTGATGAGATCTTATACACACTCATTTATTTATTTTCCTTGTGGTAAAAACATTCAGACTCCTACAAGCTTAAGTGAGCGCTTTGCTGTATGTAGAACGGACTATAGGGACAGAGGGCGGGAGAAATCACATGGCCAGTCACAGGCCTATCGCAGGTGATCCTGATACGAAGCCATGCTTAGCTTAGTGGTGGCAGTGGAGAAGTTGAGTTCAGGATGTGTCTTGAAGGCAGAACCGTCAAGAGTGAAGACTGCTGGGTTTGGGACCTGCACGACGACGAGAGGAAGAACAAGATGCAGTGAGCAGAGGGGAAGACAAGTGGGATTCAAAAATTAGAACAAAAAATGGGAGAGAGACAGACAGACAAAGACAGACAAGCAGGCTTATGGACTCATTTTATAAAGCCAGCATAACCTTGATACTCAAGGTGAGTTATATTAGGACACATAGATGCAAAAATCCTAAATAAAATATTTTCAAACAAAGTCCAGAATGCATAAAAAGAAATTATATCTTAATCAAGTTGGGTTTATTCCATGAATAAATTGGCTTTATTCTAGGAATATGAGGGTTTTTAAAACATTTGCATATGTACTTGTATAATTCACAACATTTATAGAACAAAGGAGAAAATTTCAATAAACAAAGAAAATAATTTGATAAAATGTAATATTCATTCGTGATGCTTTAAATCAGAAAATTAGGAATAGGAAACTTCTCTAATCTGATAAATTATTCTAAAAACCTGATACCACATATCATATAAATGAAATACTGAAAACATTTTCCTGGAGGTCAGGCATGAGAGAAAGATGTCTTCTATTACTCTTTCTATTCATTCCCATACTGTAGGCGCTACCCAGTGAAACAGATGAAAGAAAAGGAAGGTGTAGGTTGAAAAGGAAAAAATAGCTATGGATTAACGATTAGAATTGATAAGTGAATTTATCAAAGTCATTGAAGTTGAAGGTCCAAAAATCAATTGTATTATACATAACAGCAATAAAAAATTAGTATGTAAAAAATTAAATGACAGCATTTATAATCATGTCAAACTCATCAAATACCTAGAAATATATATTTTTTAAAAACTCTGCATGAAATGTTATGAAGACCAAGTAAAGAAGACCAAAACAAATGAAGTACTAAACCTATGTTCATAAATGGAAAATGTCACTATTAAAAGATATCAGCTCTTTACCGACATGATTCATAGTGTAAATGCAATTCCAATAAAAATTTCAGCAGAGCCAGGCATGGAGGTACACACCTGTAACCCCAGCACTCTGGGAGGCTGAAGCAGGAGGATCACAAGTTCAAGCCTAGCTCAGAGTAACAATATAGTGAGGCCATTACCAAAATAAAAAATACAAAAAATGGCTAAGGATGCAGCTCAGTGCAAATGCCCTGGGCTTAAGCCCTATTACAAGGAAAAGGAAAAAAAAATATCCTAGCAGATTTTTTTTTTTTTGGTCAAAATCGAAAATTGATTCTAAAATGCATAGGGAAATATCAAGAATAATGAAGGCTTGAAGAGGAAATCATGTTTGCTATCAAAGTGCATTAAGAAGCTACAAAAGTTACAAGCGGTATTGTCCAAGGACAGAAAAATAGACCAGTGGAATAAAAGAGCAGATCCAGAAACAAAACTACAGAGGTAAGAGGTAGGGACATTTGACTTCTGGCAAAGGGAGTGCTGAACAGTAGTGGGAGTAGAATAATCATCTTCATACATACTGCATCACTCGGTCACTTGGATCCACATGGAAAACAAGGAATCTTGATCCTTATTTCATAATAGATATAGATTAATATAGATAAAGAAACTAGAATAGATACTTTTCAATAGGAGGTATCCATTTGACAAAAAAAGGAAAGATGCTCAATTGTATTATTTGTCAGGGAAGTGAAATTAAAACCATAATGACATTCTGCTATCTATGCCCAATGGTGGTTACAATGGGGAAAAAATGACAATGACAACTACTGGAGAGGGGGAAAAGCAACTGGAGCTCTTATATACTATGAATAGGAATGTAAACTAGTACGATATCTTAGAAACACTGTACGGCTGTATTTACCATAGTTGAACATATACATACCCAGTGTCTGAGAAACTCCATGCCTAGGATTATATATTCAAGAACTATGACATATGTGTACCCATGCGTACATACAAGGGTGTCGCAAGGGTGTATCTGTAATTGCCCCATGCTGGAAACCACCCAAACGTCCATCAATAGTAGACTGGATACATGAAGTGCAGTGGTATATTCACACAAAGGAGTACTATACAGCAACAAAAATGAACCAGCTATTGAGATGGGGAGGGGTAGAAAGTTTTCCCAGCAGTTCCTCCCCTCAGCTGTGTGAGTCTTGCCAGTCTGGGCCCAAACGCGTGAGTGAAGAGGCTCTCAGATCATTCCAGCCCCATCCAGAGCTGACTAAGCAACAGCACAAGAAGCCCTAAGTGAGGACCACCTTGGGGAACCCAGGTGAGTCCCACTTTCATGAGCAAAAGGAACTGTTGTGACCATTTTAAATACTTACTCTACAGATAAGCATTGCACAGCAGTAGAGAATCAGAATATAGGTAGATGTATTTAGGGAAAGAGAGAATATATTAAATTTATAAATCCACTTTTAAATGTTGAAGGAAACCGCATTGAGTTTATAAAGTTCCTTCTAAAAACTACCTTCTAATATAGGTCCATAATAGAACAATAGATGTGTAAGATGAACTTAAAAGGCTAAGGGAAAACTAGGTTTTTAAATATCTGCTTCTGTAAATTGAATCTCAATAGAAAAGTACAAATGAACCACCAGGGAAAACCTGGGGACAGCTGAGCCCATCAAGCCCTTTGGACAATGCAAAGGAACAACACAGAAAGAGGAGAGTGATTTATTGAGTGCTTCGCAGATGCCACCCCATGTCTAACTGCTTTCTCTAACATCAGCTCTTGGAGCCTCACAGCACCGTGTGAGGTGGGGTTTACCACCCACTGGCAGCGAGGCTCCGGGAGGCTGGAGGCCACCTGGGTTGCTGCGACTCTCGGTGAGGAAAGGACGGCGCCTAAGGCCCATCCAACACTTTGAACGTGTCTCTGGAAGGAAGGCTCAGGAGAGCGAGTTCTTCCATGTCCCAGCTGCTGAGGCACAGGTGCCTACCATGCCCAAGAGCCTTCTGTGGTGGTAGGAGGGTGGGTATGCAAGTGGGCATCTTGTGAACACACAGGAGAGCTGCCCTGGCCGCACAGAAAGGACAGCCCGGGGATCCTTAGAGTTCAGGAGTGTGGAGTGGAGCCAAAGGGGCCTGGGCCCTGTACATAATTCGAGAGGAGGTCTGGAGAGGAGTTCCAGAAGCTGTGGAAAGAAAAAGAGGGAGGATTTCAGCACTGTGGTTGCATACAGCCTGCCTAACTTCACAGGGTCCTTTTGTGTTTCTCCTTCCTGCTGATTCCCAATTATAACCATGCTGAACGCCTGAAACATGGAGGAGAGGCGGTGGGGCTTCTGAATCGTTCCATTCTAGAGTATGGAGTGAGTCTGATCTCCTCATTGTAGAGGTGAGATCAAAGCACCCCACTTTGCTGCTTCCTCTGAACAATCTATAGAACTGGGTGACTTTAAGAAAAAAACAAAGTCAGGTATGGAGGCACATACTGTAATCCCAGCACCTGGGGGCTGGGGCAGGAGGATCACAAGGCCAGTCTGGACTACATAACAAGACCCTGTCTTAGAATACCAAAAAGAAAGGGGGGAGGGGGGAGGGGGAGAGAGGGAGAGAGGGAGAGAGGGAGAGAGAGAGAGAGAGAGCGCGAGCCTGTACTGAAATTCAGTAAGCCTTGTAAGAGTGCTGTCTTTTCTTTTTAGGAAAATGAGGTCTGTACAACAGAAGTGGAGGAGCGGCCTGGGGGCTGCAGGGGCTGCAGGGGGCGCAGCTGCTCCACCACATGGATAACACGAGAGGCTTCTGGCCAGAGACCCCGGAGCAGGATTCCCACCCTGGAGTCTGACAGCCACCAAGACACCTTGCAGTTCCTTCTGAGGGCAAGGGTAGGAGCACAGTGTGACTGAGAACTGTCTCCTCCCAAACAAACAACGGAGAACAAGCTGAGGCCAAGGAGCTGACAGGTTCTCTTCAGGCCTCCACCTTGGTGGATTCTTTTGTTGTCAGGATTCTGCCAGCTGCCCCCTTCCGGGGAGGGCCAGACTAGGAGAAATGAGGGCAATCACGTGTCTCTGACAGAGAGCATGGAAGAGGGCGAAGGGAGACCCTGCGTGGCTGTGCACACCAGTTTTAATCTTCATTACACACAACTCATGCTCTGCAACTTACAGACTGCTTTTATAAACTTTACCTCAGTTACCTCCTAGCAGCCCAGGGAGCTGGACAGAGGTTTATCAGCCCCATTCCACAGGCCTGCTCCTGATGGCGGATAGGGGCAGGACTTCAGTCCTAGATGGTAGGACCACAGAGGTGTAGCATGGCAGAGTTAGAACCTGCCTTACTCACAATACTCTAAGGCAGTGGTGGCAAAGCTTTTAGAAATGACAGCTCAAACTGCAACCCAAACCCACTTATTTATTGAGAAGCGCCAACACTACAACTAAACCTGAATCCTGAGGGTTTCGTTTAGGAAAAATCAATCCCTACATTAACATCTTTTGTCCTAAAACAAAAACAAATAACACGTGTGCCAGAGATTTCTCACCACTGATTTAAAGCATCCTTTCCCCAGGGCCTGAATCACCTAAAATCTCAAAAATATTTGTTCTGGTTCCTCCTTAATCCCTTCCAGTGAGAAGTAACTTTCTACTCCATGAATGTTATTGTTAATACTGAGCTGAAATTCTTCTCCTTCTCACTTTCAATCTTTGATTCAATTTCGGCCTACAAATTAAGCCATACTACTCGAATGTTTAAAAAGTTTGAAGATGCTAAACTTTCCCCTTTCTTGCAGATTAAATATCCTCAACTCCTTCAACTGTTTCTCACATCGTTACTGAGCACAGTGGCTGAAAAAAATACATACTAGACAGCAGGTAAACATTGTGTTGGTTCTCTGGACCTTGTTAATATGCTCTGGTCTGGGACTTCTTCCTTGAGCCACAGTTTGTGTCTGAAGGGTAATCGGTTTATCACTTGCTTATTTAAATATAAACAAAAAATGTGGTATACCATGCAAACCACACAGTTTTCAGACAACAGGAAAACCTAATCAAAATTGGCCAAACTGCAGACAGATTACAATTTAGTCTGAGGTAATGGATCTTTTATCTAACTCAACTGTTGATCATCTCAGAGAGGCATTCCAGCATGACCCCCTCCTCTACCAAGCATTTCCAGAACGAACCCCTGTTGAGGCTGCCTAAAGGAAGGTGAAAAATCCCAGTGAAGTCAGGGACGATGTGGATCTGTTGAGAGACCTGATCGGATGCATTACCACGCAGCATAGCCTTGGCTGTTAAGAGAAGCAGTTCCCATTTTCAGTTCAATTTTGGGAGCCACCATGAGAAAAGAATGAATTGTCTTCAGAAAAGCGCTCCAGCAGAAGGTCTGACTATTTACTTTTAGCTGTCCTTAAATTGGATCGGCGTGAGGGACAAGCACTGGTGTCTACAGGGGAGACTGTGTCATTCCTAACAATGCAGAATTCAGCCAGCTTTGTGCCTCTTACCTAAGCGCTGTACTGGCATGAATTGCAATGAGTTTAAAATTCTGGCCTTTCATGAGCCAGGAAAGAGATGATGAATGGTATCCTACCTTATAAAGGAAACAATAGTAAACTGCCACTCATCAGTTTATATGGGAATATGCTTATTCATTAGGGTAATAACCCCAAAAGGAGTCTGATGGCAAATAAGTCAATTATCTAAAAAACACAATTTCACAAGATCTCAGGTTAAAGTATCACATTATCACAGTCTAAACTGATGAAATTTGGCCAATTTGATCCTTTTTACATAGTTCTATGATTTTAAAAGTAAGCAATATATTTTTAATCATTTAAACAAACATGAAACACCTAGTACTGCTAACACCAGTACTTCATATATTGTAAATCCCAGTACTTTAGAGAACCTCACATTAGGAGTTTTATCACATCCAGCTTCAGAAAGGGCTGAATTTAGAAAGAGGCATTTCGTAGGGCAGCATCAGTGGCTGAGGGCTTGGACACTGAGCCGTGACTCCTTTCACACACAATGCCTGTTTGCAGTCACACAACAGGTGACACATTCTTCACAGGCACAGAATAGCAGGGACTTCTAGCCCACCAGGCTCCCTCACCCCCAGCCTTGGCAAACAGTCCTGTGTCAGAGAAACAGCAGTGACGTGTAGAGCGGAGAGCCCTGTGGCTTGACTCCTCCTCCTTCCCTCCTCGGAGAAGCTCATCCTTTGTGGGCTCACAGGGATCCAGCCGTCTTGGGGACAGCTGCTCTGGCAACTCAGTGGAGAGACTGAGATTAAGGGAGGTCGTAGAGTTCGCAAAAAGTCACACGCTGGCTTTATAGCAGATCCGGACTGGCTCCAAAGAACAGCAGATGGAAGCCAGGACTTTCAGCTCAGTCCTGGGTCCCTTCTTGTTTACCACGCTACCTGCCACCTGAGGACTGGGAAACATTCCTCAAGTTGGGAATATTTTACTCCTTCACTTGAGTAGTTCTCTTGCTAGAGAAGAGGATAGCGATCTGGGAAGTGCTGGGATTAAAAATTAAGAAGGCTGTGTGAGGTGGTCTGAGAGAAAGAATAGATACGGTGAGGCCATAAATGGGCAAAAGGAAAAGAAGTAATCGTAGTGTTAAATATGTGAACAAGAAAATAGGAGAAGACAGAGTCCAAGTGAAGTGAGAGGAAATTATCTGGGAAGGAGAAAAGGGACACTTAAGACAGAAAACAGGCAGCCAAGGATGAGGCAGAAGGCAGAGAGCAGAAAGAAAATAAGTAGAACCAACAGGAGAAGAAAACAGGGAAGGGCAGCACGAGAAAGCAGAGAGCCTTGTGTTGGTGAAGGAGGGGACAGGTAGGCTGGCATGTGTGAGGGCCCCATGGGATATATCTGGTTGGCAGGGGTGGGGTGAGCAGGGTGACAGGTGGGAAAGGACCAGGACAGCAGACAGTACAAGTGGAGGGTGTCACACTGAGATCATGGGTCTTGACGGATCGCTGGAATTATCCCAGAATCAGCTCGATATAGTTCTCAGTACCCCTGTACCACAGGAAAGGACAAATTCCCTATCTCTATGGCAGAATATCTCTCCTCTTATCACTCGCTCCTCTTGATTCTTTCTTCGTTCGTATAACTTGCTTCTGACACCGTACAAACATGTGCTCTTTCACTTCATACAACCTGGAGGCCTTCCTCCCTGGGCTGGTTTCTCGAGAAATTTCTTAGTTCTTCCTAGAGGTGGGTAGGTCTCAGTGCGCTCCTCATTTAGAAATGCCTTCCAAATGGAAGTTGGTGGGATTTTCCTCAGGAAAAGCCAGGCCTCCACCATGGCTGGGTGGAGTCCGAGGAGGAAAATGTCACAGCACCATGAGGGCAGCCAGGGGAATGTGAAAGCAGTTTCCCAGAACTGCGGCCTTTCTTGTACACACTCCTGTGAGGGAAATCCTGTGCATACGATCATGCACTCCCAGATTTTGTGCCCAGCTCACCCTCAAGTGTGTGAGTAGCTAGGAAAACCCAGGCTGCTGTTTATCTGTCCAGTTGCAGTGGCATTTAATCAGAGAAGCTTCCAGTCCTCTGCCCGAGTGAGCAACACTTCCACAAGCCTTTTAAAAAAACGTGATTTTGGGCCAGGGATTTAGAGCTCAGCGGCAACATGCCTGCCCCACAAGCAAAGGTCCTGAGTTCGATTCCCAGTACCAAAAAAAAAAAAAAACTGATTTTAACAGATTCCTGCCTTGTCTGGGCTAACAACTGCTTTCCAGAACCAACTCTATGCCAGAGAGACAATCATTTGGAAGTAGAACCACACCGGCATTTTTTGTTTCCTTTATGCCACAAATAAAATCCCCTTTAGCCCCAGCAGTGGCCTTAGCTATTAGCATAACCTCAAAAAAGAATTTAGCAACCATCCTGTCTGCTCAAAATGCCCAACCATCCTGCTTTCCAAATGTAATCATGGTTAATAATGAATGAGCTTTTAAAATCCCTTCATGCCTCGCATGCACCAGAGTGAGTTGCTATCTGCAAGGTTGGATTAATGCCCCCTTCTGTGAATCTAGTAAGAGGTGATGCCCCATAAGACAGTGCTTTTGCCCTTACAAGCTGAGCCAAGGCCAGGTGCTGGCAGGGAGGTGCACAGCCTTTCTCCATACTTACGTGGGTCCTGAGCCGGTGACTGTGCCCATGTTAGTTCTGCCCTCACCTCATGTACTCCCCATCACTCCTATAATCCATAAACGACTCTGATCCTGACACCTCCTCAAAATCCTCCAGCACCAGACTGGTGGAGTCCTCACCCAGGATGCCGCTGTCAGGCCTGGACATTCGGGCCCGGGATAGAGGTGCGGGAAGATTGGTGGCGGCTGGAGGGGGAGAACAAAGCGGGCTTTGCTGGACAGAGGTGGGCGCCGCCAGAGCTGGGCATGTGGCCGGCTGGCAGCCTTCCTCCTCATCCTTCTCGGACTCCAGCCCTCCATCTGAGGCAGAAGGACCCAGGACATGGTAGAGGCTGGGGAGGCGTAAGTCAAAGCGCAGTCCAAACTTAGCAAAGAGCTTCTCGTTGAGCGTGTAGAGCTTCTCTGAGATGTCATAGCCCAGCAGGACTGAGAAGAGGCGGGAGATGTATCGTTCTTTGGTCAGAAGATGGTGGAGACTTTTCCGAGGCCAGGAAATGTAGCTACATTCAGTCTCGGCAGTTAAAGTGACCTGGGGAAGAGGTCAGGAGCAGAGAGGTAAGGTTTAAACTGGAAAGTATGTCTACGCTGAGCACAGAGAAACATATGGCTACTTGGCAACTGGCTGTACTTTTACTAAAGTCCCCCTCCACGGCCTCGCATAGAGGAGGCCCAGGCAATGACTTGTACTGTGCACACTGAGATGAGTGGTATCCGTGTTGGGAGGCCTGGGGTCAGCCACTCACTCACGTGTCCATCACTTCCTGCAGCCCAACCTCCCTACCCGCACGGCTTATGGCACCTTGGCTGACCCCAGTAACAGTTGCAGAAGGCTCTGAGTTTTCGGGGGGTGTGGTCCTGGTGCTCTACAGGGAGCTCAAAATGCAGAGGACTACTCATTTCAAGAGTAAAGAGAGACACTATATAGGGATGGAGTGGGGAAAAGTTCAATTAGAGAAAAGTGATCTGTTAAGTATGTCAGGCTGTTATGGACCACTATAAGCAATCAAAAAGATCTGATGACTAAGTCAGAAAAATGACACAAGGACACAAACTCTTGAGTGACATTCAAAGGCCCTTTCTCCATTTACTCATCTAGGAGTTTTTGGGCATTTAGGCATGCTGACAATGCAAAGTTAAATTGTACTTGCAGTGGAAATAAGCAGTAATATGTACCTGGAAAGCAGTAGATGCTTAAGAAGTCCTTGTTAAAACAATGCTGAGCAGTAAAGTTGGGATTAAAGTGCAACATGCTTAGGATAGTACAGGGAAAGGATAGAGATCTCTTCAATAATTTGATCAATCGTAATAATTCGGGTTGGCAGAGATTAAGATGGGCATCGGTACAAAGACACTCGAAATGGTGAGAGCAGCTAGCACTTTCTGAGAGGTGACTGTGTGCAAGGCATTTATAGAGAACTTTACACATAGTCACATTAAAGGTAGGCCTCACTCTCTAAACGTTCCTTACTACACATCGTGTGTGACCCTTTAATTCCTGCCTTGCATAGAGGCCCTCCCTCCTCTTCTCCCATCCTCCTTGTCCGCTGTACACCTCCTGCATTACTGTATTCATTTGCCTCTTGTAGCTGCTCCCTCTCAGAACTGTTCTCACTGTAGGCAGAACCCTAAATTATACCAACGAGGCCAGAGTCTCAGCCATACCTCTTTACAGACGTGTAACATCACACGAGTTGCCTTGTGAGAAAGAATTCTGAGGATAAGACTCACACCCTGTCTATCACTAACAGTTTAGCAAGTAGCTATCACAGCAAAGCCTGTCCCTTAGCTGGTACTTATTAATAATTCCCAAACAAGAAATCAGGCTGAGGAAGACCTAATCTCAATGAAACCAGTGCCTTGAAGGCAAACACAAAGATCTCAGGCATTCCTGTGAACAAGCCTTTACGTCTTCTATTAAAAAAATTTTTTTAAGTGAAAATCCTTTTTCTTTACCTCACTTCCCTACTATTTTCATTAATTTGCTCCTCTTTTAAACAAAACTCCATGAAAAAAAATTCTACTGTCTCAAATTCTTCTGTTTTCATTCTGGTCAAACCAATAAGGCTTTGTGCCTAGAAGTCCCCTGTGCTGTCCTGTTAAGATCACCAGTACCCTCTGACTCGGAGCATCCGCAGTCAGCGTGTACTCTGCCCCTTGCCTCCACCCCCCCACCCCGTACACCCCCTGCTCTAGGTCCCCAGGTACCATGCACTCTAGGGGCAATTTCCTGCTTTCTCCTTTTCAGTTTCCTTCACCAATTCCCTTCCCCCCACCAACTTCTTAATCCCTTCTCTGTCCACACTTTCACATTGATGCCTCAAGCCCAGACCTCGTTACTGAACTCCAGACTTAAATATCCAATTGGCCACCCCACATCTCCATTTCACTGCCCATAGGCGAGGCCAAACTACCGCTCCCCAACTGAACTTCCTACTTAGCAGCCGGCCCTCCGCAGACTTCTAGTTCCAGGTGGTGGCAGCTCCATCCTTCCAGCTGCTCAGAGAGGCCTCAGTCCTCCCTGATTCTTTTTTTCTGTACCAGGGATGGAACTTGGGACCTTGCGCTTGCCAGTCAGGTGGCAGCATCACAGAGCTAAATCTCCAGCCCGATAAAGACCATCTTTGCTGGGCTCAGTAGCAGACACAGCCGACAGAAGAATCTCTAAGCCTAAAGATGGGTTCGGCCTCCTTTCTAACCCTTACCACGCCAGCCGACCGCACAGCCTTGCACTCACGCTTCCCTCTGTCCAACACACTCTTCCCCAGATACCCGTGTTCACGCTGTTCCAGTTTTTGTTCAAATGTCACCCGATTCACAGGTCTTCCATGATGATCCTCTTTAAAACTGCAACCATCTCTCCCTTATATTACTCTATGTTTTTTTAAACTAGCAGTTATTATCTTGTAACATATTTCATCGTTCTCATTAATTATGCCATAGCTTATTTTTCATGTCTCTTGCTAGAATGTAGACTGCATGAATGCAGGAACCTTCACTGGTTCTGTTCACCGATATACTCCAAGCACCTTTGACAGTGAGTGCCTGGTATATAATAAATGCTCAATAAAAATCACTGAATGGGACGAATGAATTGGGTGAAGACAACCAATCTTGTATTTGGCAAAATAACTGACTGTCACTTTCTCATGTCCTATGTAAAAGCTTTCCCAAAGATGCTCTGAAAGTCTGTTTCTTGCCTGCTTCCCAAGTATGCATGGGTATGTTTGTCATAAAGTTTTCTAGCTTATAATTTAATTTTACCTCAGAGGCTGGCTGAACAGATTAAATGAGATAATATGCAAATAGGCTTTGGGTCCGGTAAAACAGAATGCATACTGGAGGAACAGTGGTGACTTGTGACACTTCCTGTACTGTGTCCTTAAGGACTAATGTGAGTGTCACCAAGCTGAGCCGTGAAGAGACCCTCGTGGAGTTGGGCTGCTGACAGGCATGGTTGGAGCACCAACCGACTCATGTGAAATTCCGTGAGTTACGAGTTTGGCTGTTACTGTGGGTTGCTCTCTGTCAACAAAGGCAAAACGCAAGGACAGGATGAACTCTAACTTGGACATTTTCAAAGAGGAAATGGAACTTTATACAGCAATCGTGAATGTGTGGAGCTTACTGCACCCAAAGGAGGTGCACACCAAAAATAGAAATGGGAGGAAGGTGGTCACACTCATTCCAGGCACAGAGACCATCTGGGGTCACGGCCCTTCCTTCCAGCACAACTCAGAGAGGTAATCAGCTTCTCACCACCTGCTCCTCCTTGTCAGTGTCAGAACCCTGCTGGGACTGGTTTAGGCCTCACTCAGCCCCGTGGATATTTCTATGGCCTGAGGGAGTTCCTAGCAGAGGTCCCTGTGTGTAGAGGAAGGGAGGGTGGGACTTTGATTGGAGGGAACTGTAGCTGGTGGCCCTGCCTCTCAGGCCCTGTTGCCACACAGCCAAGTGTCAGGGTGGGGACGGAAGCAGGCCCAGCCAAGTGCCACTGACTGGTATGTGCTGTTCCTGGGTTGGCTGATATGCTGAAACTCCCTGACAAAAGCGGTGGGAGACGTATGGATCCCAGCGCCAGCAAACTATCTGGACAGGGGAGTTTCTAAGGGTGTGTGTGTGTAAACTTCCCTGCTCCGGTGGTGTTTCTGTTCTTACAAATGAACATAGATCCAGGCACCTGGGCTTTGCCACTTTCCAGCTGAATTACATGATGTTTTGGGGCTTTCAATTCTTCATCTACTAAGTGGGGTGTATACCTAGCCCAAAGAGTTATGTGGATCCATAAGGCAATTTAGTGTGCAGTGCTTGCTACATGCTAGCCATTCAGTAAGGAAGAAGAACTATGACAAGAGCAGCCAGTGGCTAAAGGATTGGCAGGGAAAGGACAGGGACCAAACAGCCACCCCTTCTCTTTGAAGCATTTATCTGAGTGCCCAATAGTGTCCTCTGAGACACAACTGTCCCCCGGGCAAGCGAGCTCAGCAAGTCTTTGTGAACATCCACTGTGACCCAGGGACTGTCCTTTGGAGCCTGAGGACAGAGGCTGGAGGAGGAAGCTCCAACTTTACTTCGAAGAGTTTCATCAAGCAGAAAGGAACCTGGATCGCTACAACAATGAGCCCCACAAGCAGTCATGAGTAAAGGAGAACAAGGTGGCAGGAACAGGAGGCTGCTGGGGAAACTGGGGCGTGGGTCTGGCCAGGCTTCACAGCAGAAGTGAGGTGCCCTGGCTTCTCAGTGAAAAGTGCAAATGCATTTCAATGGAAGGGCCAATAGGGACCGCAGCACAGAGTGGACGACAATATGTTCTGCTTAAGGAAGCACTCATGGTCGGGCAGCAAGTGTGAGCGAAGCTTACACGGAAAGGGGCTGGAGAGGCTCTAGGGATGGCTGACAGCTTCAGTCACGGAGACAGGACCATCTACCAGCAGCCACTGCCTCCCTCGCAGACAACAGGGCTCCTCCCGCAGAGCAGGAGCGGGGATGTGAGGGGACTGACGGAGCCCTGCATGTGGCTGGTTCACAGCAGGATGGGCCGGGCAAGGCTGCCAAGGGCTCCCTGTTACCTGGAAGATGCCTTCCTCGGAGGGTGGCAGCGATTCCCATTCAGGAGAGTCCATGAACTGGTAGGGGAAGATGTAATGCAGAAACTGCCCGTCCTGGCTCACACGGACCCTGGCAGAGGGAGAGAGGAGACCACATAGAAAAGGGAAATGGTGCTCCAGTGCCCTTCACTGAAGTCGCGTACTGATGATTAACACAAATGTTCCAGCAGAAATAGCTGGCTAAAGTGTAATAAAACCCAAAGCAGAAATCCCTCGGTTGCTTCATGGAAACTGTTTAGAAAGAAGACCCACAGAGATTTCCTGAGCCTTTGTTTTCCACTGCCTTCTCCTTATGGGTGATACTCAGTTTCAGACTGCAGAATAGAAGCCCCCAGGGAAGCTTAAAAAAAACAAAAAACCCAGGGAAGCCCCAGGGAAGCTTTAAAAAATACCAGGCATAGTGGCATATACCTGTAACCCCAGCACTTCAGGAGGCTGAGGCAGGAGCATCACAAGTTGAACCAAGCCAACACAATTTAGTGACTTAGATCCTGTCTCAAAACAAAAAGTAGAAAGAAGCTGAGGATGTGGCTTGGAGCAAAGGTCCTGGGTTCAGTCCCCGGCACCACAAAACAACAACAAAAAAATCTCATCTAGGGTTGGGGCTGGGGATACAGCTCAGTAGTAGAGTGCTTGTTTATTATGTGTGAGGCCCTGGAGTTCAAAGCCCAGGAGAGAGACCGAGATGGAGATGGACAGGGAGAGGAGGAAGGAGGGTTGGGGCGAGGACAAGAGAGGAAAAGAGAAGATGAAGGAAGGTCAGAAGGACAAGAAAGAAACTGAGGACTGAGATTACAGCTTGGCGTTAGAGTAGTACTCGCCTAGTATTTTCACAGTACTGGGTTGATCCTCAGTACTGCAAAGTAAAATAATATACCCCCCCCCCCGAAACCAACCTAAGCCTTATCACAGAGCAATTAAACAGGAATCTGCAGTGGGATTTGGACATTACTAGTTTTACAAATCTCCCTGGTGATTCTATTGTGTAGCCAGGATGGAAACCACTGTGTTAGAGCTCTGTGTCTACTTATCACATGTAGCTATTTAAATTTACATACACAAGCCGGGCATGGTGGCGCACGCCTATAATCCCAGCACTTGGGAGGCTGAAGCAGGAGGATCACTGCGAGTTCAAGACCAGCCTGGGCTACACAGTGAGTCCCAGGTCAGTCTCAACTACATAGTGAGACCCTGTCTCAAACAAACAAACAAACAAACAAAACATACACATTCATTAAAACTAAATAAAGTTAAAAATCCAGTTCCTCACTCACCCTAACCACATTTCAGGTGCCCAACAGCCACATGAACCTGTGAGCAACATACTGTACAACATCAATACAGGATGCTCCCATTACCATAGAGAGTTCTACTGGGCCTCACCATTACGGAAGTTCAGCCTAGGGCTCTTCGCCTTTCCCCTTCTCAGTGGGCTCTGCAAAGGGCCGTGCTCTACATGCCTCAGGCTTACACTATCACCACTTTTCAGACTTGGAAGGAGAGGGTGTGTCTACTATAGAGCAGGCTCTATTAGACATTTCACCGGCGTTCTCTTACTTAATCATCAAAATAACTCAAGGTAGAGATTTTTATTTTCTGTTTTTTCAGCTAAGAAAACATGTTCAGAAAAGTTGACTGGTGAGCTTAAGGTTTCACAGCTATTGAGTGGCAGAACTGAGATCCTGTCCTTACTGTGACACCATGTGATCAGAGCTTTGGTAGGTGATGGTGGATGCTCTGAGCGTAGCCCCTTCTCTACGCTCAACAACCAACTATAATGTGACAGTGACGGCTCGGGCTTTGGACAGTGGCATCCCACGCACCCAGTCCAAAGATGGTCCTGGGCTGAACACTTAACCTGAGCTGAGCCATTTGAATCCTTTCCATGGGCACTGGAACTGGAATTAACTACTGTCTCGGATAGGAACAACCATCAGACACTGGCAAAACTCATACACGCCTCTACTAAAACACTAAAATCTTGTGTTTTAAATCATATAACTCAGACTTTATAAGTGTGTACACCCCAAACGGCCACAGGGAAAAGAAATCAGAAACCATACAAAATGCCCAGAACACGTTCCTAATTCAATTCTTACCTGAGGCTCAAGTGCGTTTCTCTCCTTGATTTGGATGAAATATCCTTGTATTTTTTTTAAAGATTTTTTTCTCCCACCAGCTAGACAGAGTGGGTTTCTGTGTCCACAGCCAGGAATTCTAATTGATTTTAATTTTATGAATATTTTTATTTCACACTATCAATAAGTCTAACAACTGCTCTCAACTTGCCTACAGGCTTGTCTTTACCACATGGGGATACAAACACCATGAATGCAGCTTGCTTTGAATCCTAGTGGTGAGCATCCCACCTGCTGCTTTGCTCCTGCAGGGATGGGCAACTGCATTTTGGGAGAATCTGTCAGAATCCATGGCATGGCATTGGCTGCTGGGGAGAGGGAGTGCATTTCCCTTGTAATGTACCATCTGGGAAAAGACTTCTCATCCAATATGGGTATTTTCATTCCTTCCCCAGCAAAGGCAGAGATTCATCCTGAGTTAGTCAAGCAAGAAAGTACCTCTGTCAGGCAAAGGAGGAAGAAAAAAGCTTTGGAATCTCAATGGTATAGGGAAAATATGCCTCCATTTATAGGGAAAATATGCCTCCATTTTTTCCTACCTCTACTGGTAGCTAAACACATATTCATGGAGCACCTCCCTCAGTCCTGGAGGATGGGGGATAAGGAAATCAGTGCAGTCTGGCTCTTGCCTTGAAAGATTTCACAGTCGAGGGGAAATCACAGGAACATAAATAACTGGCTACAAGTCAGTGTGGTAAGCGCTGCTGTGGAATGGGAACACAAAGGAGGAAGAGAAATTCATTCTCTGTGGGTCACAGACTTCCCAAAGAACATGGCATCTGAACTGAGTTCTGAAGGATAAACAGGATACTGAGAAACAGGATGGGGATGCACAGAGCTCTGGGAAATGCAGTGTGACAGTCTCTCCAATACCCACTTTCTCTCTTCCTCCACAGCCCTAGAATGTTAACAGGACACAAGAGTTCACAGCTAAAGACTACTCCTTACCGCCCTTTTTGTTAGGTACAGCCAAGGGGCTCTTATGGCCAATACAATGTTAGCACTCTCGAGTCTTGCTTTTAAAAAATTCCTGGATGGACATGTGTGCACATATATGGCCGCTTTGGAGAGTCTGCCACCGGAGAGGACTGATCTCCCTTCCTCCTCCATGGACCTGTTCTACAGAAGCACTCACCACAGTGACTGGCAGCAGGTTATTTATGCACCTGTGCTTTCCACTAAACTGTGGAACCCTCAAAGGTAAGAGACAGACTGCACTGATCTCTGCATCCCTTGACCTCCAAGGTGCTCAAGAATATTCTAGCCGATAAAGCTCCAGCAACAGTGCAAGGGTACCTCCCTCCAAATGGATATGTGTACCTTGGAGGTCTTCTTTTTCTTCTTCTGTCTACACAGGCACCTTCTTGCCTTAGGTGAGTTTGAAATTACCAAAGATCATCACCACTTAATAGGCCATTGCCCATCATCTGAACACGGAAAGAAGGAAGACAGAAAAGAATGCAGGTCTCTAACCAGGCTAGGGATGGAGTCAACCCATAGCCTCCAAGAGCAGACATGCACTCCCTCCTACAAGACTTGTCTAAGGGATGAAAGGATGCCAAGAAAAAAAAATGAAGTGCTCTATTCTTCTACCTCAGATCTGTCTCTAGCTGGATTTCTCCCCTCGTCTCAGCTTCCTTCTTGCAGGAAGTCTGAGCTCCCACAGAAAGTGAGCCCCACTAGTTCATGCTGTCCTTGCTCTTTTGCCTTCTCTGTGGAAACACCACACCTACCATCAACCACTACCACGCCCATTAATGCTTGGCTTTTGTGATAGACCGTAAGTTCCATGTGCTCAAAGAAAATTGTTTTCACATTAAACCCGCAGCCCAGAGGCCCTCGCACTCCTAACACATATTTGGAAGTGGGGGAAGAAGGAGGAAGGGAAGAGAGAAGGCAGGCTGGAAAGAAGAAAGGAAGAACAACAAACACATTCATTTGCATCACCAAAAAAGCGGAATTGCAGCCTCAAGTAAAAACTTCTGTAAGGAAGATGTGAGGAGGGAAGGAAACCACTGAGGCACACATACACCCTGCCCCTCATCTCCTCAGGTGAGGATTCTGGCTCCCCAGCAAGCCACCACCAAGCGACAAAACCCTAGAGTGCTCACAGAGACGTTTACGCAGGTGTATCGTGTCCTTTATCATTTGTCTCTTCTTCCTTTTTCCTCTCTCGGATGATGGGTCACTTCCTCCTAAGTGAACAGCTGAAGACAGCTGCCTCCTCAGGGTTGCACTTGTGGGTGCCTGTGCTTTGCATGTTATATGAGAAAAACTCTCCAACAGTAAACAGCACTTATGGGCAACAGGCTTTGAGGAAGTCACTTTGTTCTCGGAGTCCTGGAAGAGACTGACTGCCCTCATTAAAATAAAACAAAGACTTCTGAGGTTTGAGCAAAGGCTCCAGGTGACAGACTGCATGTAAGATGGGAAGGTATGTGCAAGAGGCCCCTGCTTCCTGGCACAGAGTTCTTGGCTGCTACTTCGAGGTGTCAGACACTGAACTGTAACCAGCCTGGGATACAGTGATGCTCCCCTAAAAAGAGCCCACTCATTGTCAAGAAGCTGCTTCTCCTTCTTCTGACTTAGCAAAGCTGGGACAGGATGACATTGAGAGATAATAAAACAAACAAGAAAATCCTTAGCTCGAGACTTTAAAAGTGAAGAAAGAAATCAAAACTGTTTAATTTCTAACAGGATTTTGATGCTATGTATACTAGGAAAAGCAACAGTGAGAGACCAGCCCTCCTTTTCCCTTCACAGGTACAAGTTCACAGTGAATCTATCAGTATGAGCTCTCTGAACCATGTGAGCACCCTCCACTGGGGGAACATTTCTCCTGGTGTCCATCCCCTCCTTTGAACAGAGGAGCTATAAGGAGCAAGTGGTATCATGAATGTCATGAATGAGTGATTTCCCTAGATAGTTTTTAAGCATGGAACTATAAGTAGCAAACATTCTGGCAATAGCCATAAATAGCCATAGTGCTTTTTTTTTTTTTTTTTTTTTTTT